AAAAGCAATAATTTTATATTATCTTCCAGTTGTATTTAATGCATTACTGTGAGAGGAAAGGTAGTATTTTTCTTCATGTGTTTGTACAAGAACTTTGTAAGCATATAAAGTTATGCTTGTTTATAAATGTGGAAATTGTGTTGGTATATGCTTTGGTGTATGTTTTTTTACAATTTGTTTTAAAAAATGATCTGATTGTAATGAGTACATTTAGTAGTTCAAACACAATTCCTATTGAAGTAGACATAAATCTAAATGAGTACTAAATAGAACACACACAAGTCACAATTTTGACTATTATTATTCAATGCACTTTACAATATCATGTCTTTCTACATTAATTCTCAAATACAAGAAAATTCTCCCTTCTGTATTGATTATCTACAGCAAAATCCAAAGTCAAGTCTTCCCAAACTATCCACAAAACGAAAATAATGGGCTACTGACAAAATCACAAAACAGCCCCAAAACCTGCACAGAACTAAGATAATTTCTCATGCTATTAATTTCTTCTACCACTGTATACCTCCGTATCATTCCTTAAGTTTTAACTAGATAATTGGCTCTTTACTAATCACATAAATGGAAAGAGGAAGTGACTATGAGCTTAATGAACATTTGTGTGTGCTCACATTGTGGAGTCCAGCAGCAGCATAATCATGCAAAGCAAATATGACCACTTTTTAGATCCTTCATTCCTGACCACCACCGGCTCATTTCTTTGACAGCTGAGAACAAAGTATAATCTATGTATGACCCAGAGAGTCTACTGACTGAATTTATGATTGTGGATCTGTGAGATAACCTGGGAATTTACTTCCAAGCTATGAGGCTAATAATCAACATAAATTAAATCCCTACTTTTTATTCTCTGTTCAGTTCTGACATCAGCTGTTCATGCAGGATCTCTCGGACCCTGGTCAGAGTTGGGCCAGATGTCCCAAGTTAAAGGGTGACTGTCCTCAGAAACCCACAGGGACTGTTCTATTCCACCCTAAAGGGTCA